TATTTTTTAATCTTAACGTTATTTAATTTTCAGGATATTCTGTGAAAGATAGCGCGGTCTATATCGCGTCGTAACACGGATCGATGCTAATTAATGTGACGTATTTCGATTTCGTCGGCTTCTACCGCAATTTGAAACCAAGTGCCCTTTTTCTTAATATAAAAAATAAAAATAGATAAAGAAAGAAAAAAAGATAGATAGAAAGAGAGAGAAAGGGAGGGAGAGAGAGAGTACACGGAGATTCGCAGCGTTACGCTGCGTTAGAGAACGCCAAATTCCAAAGGTGCAGTAAATTTTTTCCCCCCCGTGGGGAGAAATATAAATGTCGATTGTGCTGTAACGACGTTTACATTCGTCGAGTAGCTCTGCGGGACGCCTCACATTGTTTCTTCGGATCTATAATTTTTTTATCTATTTGTCATCGAAGTACAGTTACCGTCTGCAGCTAATGGTATAGCCTCGTTTGTATTTCCGAGGTAACTATAATCGTGCATACAGGTGCGTATACACACATGCACACACACACACATATAGAACCAGGATGTGTCCCTAGCCAGGGGACCGTACGTAGTTACGTTCGCACGACTTCTCGTTTCTATAGACCTCTTCGGTGTGTGCACGCGCCAGTTGCGTTATGCACGACTGGCCGAGTATGCTATTTGCGTTATTTCCCTATCGCCGCTGATTTCATTTGAATGGCTTAACGATGGTTAAGTACCGATTAGCTAAATGTAGATCAATTTACGCAAGTGATACAAAGTTACATACGTTATTTCGAGGTACCTACAAATCGTAAGACACATCCATAAGAAGCCGAGAAAATAGACGTCGATTTTCTTTTTCCTTTCTTTTAAGTTTGACTGCACGTGATAATATCCCTCAATCGCCCCAATGAGAGTACTTGAAGATCGATTTGTGGGATATAAAGTTTATTTCGTTGAATAAACTTTACGTCCTACAAATAATTTCAAATATTTTTTTCTCAATGCCATCAAAATATTGTCCTCGGTGTGCCGTCGTCGTTGCTGTTCTCGGAAGCCGCGAGAGTCCTCGAAAAAGGTATAAACGCGGCGTGCGCGCGCGTTGAAAAAGCGTCGCTTTTAATTAAAATGCTCAGGGGTTAGAAAGCGTGATGAATGAGATCGCCGGCCGTATACGGTGCGGCGCGGCCGCGCCAAGAAGAACTCTATTAATTATTAGACGACACCAGATCCATTATCCGGGACGAGGAGCGACGGAGGAGGTCCGCGAGGAATAGTTTCCCATTCGGATACCATTAGGACTCTGCCGGACTCTTTCGTTTCACCCCCTTCCGCTACGCCGTCGCGCCTCGACAGCGCAAAACAAAGCTAATTATTGAGACGCGACACGTGGGCCGCGTAGGCCCAACATTAACCCTTGTATGTGTATGTGCGTGTGTACTGAGCGGATCCGTTGCACCCAAGCCTACGCTTGTACGGGGTGTCATATTGACAGTCTAATTCCAAGTGCTGTCTTTTCTCGGAGTTAAATCTTATCAAAATGCATGAAAATTCACCCAAAGCGATAATGAAGATGATGGATGTATCACTCAAGCTTAGAGTGGACTCTGTTTCCATAGGAGTGAATGTTTCAATCGATTGGAGTGAAATTATTGTTGCGATGGTGGAACATCAGGTAATATCAAGTGAAAGTATTCACTCAAGTGAAAATGTTTACTGAATGATTCAGAGCGAAGAATTCGTTCTGCACGAGCGAGAAATCTTTCAAATTTGAGGGATCCGACTGTCACTTCACCTTTCGAGTGAAAGCTTAGTCCAAGAAATTTAGAGGATGCGTGAAAATAGGGTTTAAGAATATGTCTGGATGTGTCAAAAAGAGAGAGAGAGAGGTACATGTTTCAGAATACAATTCCAGTAACCCACGATCGTTAAGCTATGAGATAATAGCATGCTTGGCGAATAATCGTACAATGCGAACAATTTAGCGCCGCACACGTCAATGATACGCTACTTATAGAGTCCTCGTGCTGTTAATCTGAACACGAATATATTCAGTATCTCTAACGAACGCGAGTCATTATATTGCAATTCTCTCCGAGGGAAGAACATGCGCAATTAAAAATCGCGTTAAAATCGTGCAATAGGCGCGAGAGGCGTCTTTAGGAGCTCGCGGCACAGTGACATCTCATTAACACTATTTTCTTAATAACCCTCGATAAGAACTGGTCCTGCCCGCGAACCGTCCCGACGTGTCCATCTCGTTTTCTTGCCCCACGGCCGCAGCCTTGGCGGTCACCTCGGGGGCAATGCAAGTGAGCGAGCAAAGGCCGTTAAATATATGTATACCGCGTAAGAATAATAATTATTCCTAAGTATAGGCCTGCGCGAATGGCCACGGCGGCGCGGTGTCTTTGACGCCGGCTGGAGAGTTCCGTACTCGTCCTGTGGCATCCACAACCGTCGTTCCCATGGCGAGCGCTTCAATTAAACAAACAGTCCGCAAGCCGATGCGTAAAATTTGATTTTGCATATTAATTCCGCGAAGAGCGGCCATTGGCGCCGCCGAGGAATTTGCGGGAATCATTGGCGACGCGATTTACGGCGCACTGAGCGCAGCGAGAGTCGACGGAAATGTATCAGATCGCATAACTCTAAGAGAGAGAAAGAAGGAGAAACAGCCGCGGACACGAGTAAAAACGGAAGCGCCGGTTTCGAGTCAAAACACCGGCTGGAATCGCGCATTTCGAATGAGACATGCTTCAATTTTACCACGCAGCCGTTTGCACGACATTATACTCATAACTTTGCGACATATAAACCGGAATGTTTTTTGAACTTCCTACATTTCCTAGAATGGAATCTCGCTTGGAACGAATGAAAAGTGGCACTATCTTCGCTTAAAGCGACAGTGAAAACACTGCTACTCGAAATCGCAGGAGTTTGAATTTCATTCAAGCTTAGAGTAGATTCTGACTCCATGTAAACAAATGTTTCAGTCGATTAGAGTGAATATGTGTTTCTGTATAATAATGTAATATTATCAGATTTATTCTTCAATTACGAGTAAAAATATTCACTCGACAGAGTAGATAATTCATTCTATGTGAGTGAAAAATCACGCGAATTTGAGTGCAAATAATCATTCTACTTCTCGATTATTAAATTTCACTTTCAAAAATTTTGAGAGATTTTCAATTAAGTTTTGGAATGAGAAGACCAAATATATAAAAAGTCTAATAGATCAACCGACTTTTAAGATTCGTAGCGCATTTGCAACTCGCGTTTGCATCTTGATTAAGATGTACCTTTCGATAACGCAGTTTTTATCGCGTGTCAATTTGACTCAAGTGCTAATGCAATATTTAGGCGTCGCAACGATACATATCCTCCGCTACAATTAAAGCCGCGCGAGAGACGTTTCGTATGTTCCGTGTAGGCTCTTTAAGTTTTAATGTTAATTTCGTAAGCGCTCGATCGCGATAAGATCGCGTGTCACGTTCTGTCCGTTATGATGCGCGTTGATGGTCTCCGTCTCCACGGCGAATGTTTTAATTAAGCGGATAGCGCGTCGCTTAAAAATGGATTTTACATGTTAATTTTGCAAGTTTCTCAGAGGCGCAGCGGCCGCCCCGAATCTCTTCCAATTTTCCCTTCCGCGTAGCTCAAGAATGTCGAACGATTTGCATGCTTCTCTTTCTCCCTTCCTCCCTCTGTCTCCCAACTTCTCACTTATAATTCGTTCAGAACGCGTTCGCGATGCGATTATATCGAGTGCATCGCGCAGGACGCACGATAACATCACATCGGAATACTCGGAGTATGCAAACTAATGCAAACTTGTTCACAACAAAAGTACCTACGCCAATGTCGGCTAGTCAGGCCACCATGTAGTAGCCGTTGTTGTCGGTTACCACTGTCATAACTACTAAATAACTCGCGCACTTTACCGCCGAATCGGGCGGCTCAGCACGCCGACGTAAATACTCCAAGTTATGAGCCTGACGGTATCCACGCGTATCCTCGCCCGAGGATACACGTCCTTCTCCGTGCTCGCGGAGGAAGCAGAGGCGCAATACGTGTCGGCAGGGTGTCAATCAGCCGCGGCTGGCGCACACACGCATACATACACACACATACGCACATACACACACTGGCAAGTTTTAATTATCGAAAATCCTGCAACAGGCCCGCCCGTTGTTGCTAACGATTCGAGAAGCGCGCACGCTGATCCCGGTAATGAAGAGTAAAATGTAAATCCGCGCGCCTAACGGTGCGGCGTGCCGCCGCACTTCCCCGTGAATTGATTATTAAAGTTAATCCCCTCTAGTTGTAGCTCGGAACAAAAGCCCGCGCTGGTTATTGAACCCTCATCGCCACGGACCAGTAAGATCGTTGATTGCGCCGCGGCCAGCAATTGCTTTATTTTTAGCACCCACCGACGTGTCGGTCGGTTCGGGACACTTAAAGTGGCCGCATTCTTTTGTTTTATCCGCGATCTTCAACGATACTTCCCTCACGAAGCGCGGATTATAACAGACGGATGTATTTCTGAAAATGTTAGACAGCTGATTACAACAGTGAATTAGCGAGTTCGACATTGTCTCTCCACGAAACTACAGGAGAAAGTAAACAAATTTTTGTATCTTTTTAACTTGTAAAAATAACTTGACGAGAATGAACCTCATGAATGTGAAAATAGTAAGGTGAAAGTAGTAAAGTTTGTAGACACGTATCTAATCTTGGACCTAATTCTTATTATCTGTTTTGGTTTTTAAATACGAAAATTTAAACTTTCATATATTGTACATGTAAGACCAAAACAATAAGAATGCCTAGGATTAGATACGCGTTTTCAAATTGATACTTTTATCTTAATTTGAATTAAAGTATGATATGAAATTAGTCAGTAGGCAAGATATTTCAAATCTCACCCGCTTACTACGATTTGTTATTCACTTGTTACTACGATTTGTGCATGCTTCTTTGTAATGTAGCTAAATAAGTCACGTCTTGTTGCAGCTTGAAACCGCCGCAAAAAGACGGAGTGACAAAATCAAACCCCAGCAAGCGGCATCGCGAGCGATTGAACGCCGAGCTGGACACGCTAGCGTCGTTACTTCCTTTCGAGCAAAACATCCTCAGCAAGCTCGACCGACTTAGCATCCTCAGACTCAGTGTAAGCTACCTCCGCACGAAGAGCTACTTTCAAGGTAAGTCCAAATTTTACGCGAGCTATTACAGTCAACGTAAATTTTTTGTAAAATTTATAGTGCTTGTTCACGCCTGAATCTTAAGCCACGATGTCACTTTAAAATGTGCACTTGCGGATCTTCTTTCGCGGGGCGGTGTGTCGCGCATGTTATTCGTTCATTTATCGACATATAAACTTAAGCGTATTGTATAACTGTTCGAAAAATATAAAGATATAAACGTAATAATTATGGATTAATTAGTATTGCTCTTATTCGCCGATCCATTATCGCTGTTCGCGTCGTAACAACTGAAACACGTAGATCTCAGACAACAAATATCTATATGAGTCTCATCGTAAACGTAAGCATTCACGGTCTCTTCGTTAGCACGCGAGATACTCGTTACATCATCGAGACAATAAGATCCGAAAACAATGCGCGGTCCATACGCCCGCCCCATCCCTTCCTCGTTCTCCTACACAATCCAAGAGCTGTGTGATAACTTAATATCAAAACCGTGCTTCTTGTACTGTGGTTGCACGGGGATGAAGTACTAGGAACTAAATAGAGCGCGAGAGTCTATTCACACACAACCCGACAGTGAGAAATGAATGTTCGATTGCAAACGCGATACGAGACGCGTAACGAAAATGTACGAGACATAATTAATCTCATGGGGAAGGAGGGGTTGGCTGATGATAATCGTTGCAAGACATTGTCATGTATCGGAAATGTTCAAACAGTCGTGATAGGATCATGAAAAATTATTCGTCGTCGATAGATTGTCTAATGCTTTCTTATTTAATCTCATTTTTCTCGAAGCATTCATTATTCTCGAGATTTTTTCTTAGCAGTTTTCGAAGTGAAGACACGACGCGATTCATCGCCGCGAGTAATACATTTCGCAGACGCTATGCCAGAAATTATGCAACTTCAGCAGGGAGAACGCCTTCCTGCACCGCGGGTGCGCAATCTCATCTGCAATCGCAATCAGGTGGGGCCTGATCGAGGAATCGCCGCGCGAAATAATGGGTAGAGTCACTCCTCTCCCTCGCTCTACCATTATCCGCCGCCGTGCTTTCGTCCGTTGTTTCTAATCTTACGACGAGCAAAGTGACTCCCGCGCCAACGCGAAATCGAATTCGTCGGTTTTACGTTGAGTTTTACTACTCGCGTTGTAGCGGAATAAGGTCGCGAAAAAGGTAGAATCGTTTTCGCGCTCGCGTTTCGCTTTACTTTCTCTGGAATTAAAGAGCGTCGCATCGCGTTATCACTTCTAGCCTGTCTTTATCGGTAAATCGAAAGAAAAAATGTATCATTAACTACACTGAGAGAAAAGATATCTAAGAAATGAAAGATATTTATTCGTTAGGTACTAACACAATTCGGAAAAAACAATTCTGTTGATGCAAACGAATTTTCGGCTGCTCAAAGACCAGACGAAAACTCGACTGTAGGAATAGAAAAATTTCTTTATGAGGCTTCTGTATAGTCAATTGTTCTCAGTTGCCTCAACCGAGTTCTAATATCGTTGAATATTCAGACGAATATTTTCGGTTGCACCAACTGAAATTTTTTTTGCATGCATGTGTTCACTTATATTAATATAAAATATTTTTCAAATAAAAAAATATATATTTTGTTAAAATCTTAACTCTTCGTGAGAGCAATGTTATTCTGTTTAAATAAAAGAATTTAAATTTAAATAAATACGTTAGGATAATTAAATATTCCGTTATTTAGTAAAAATAGGGATCAGATATAAAAAATTCGGTTATAGGAACAGATAGATTCTTGTATGAGATCTTAGTCAATTTTCTTTTACTTAGTCAATTTTCTCAGTTATTGTAAGCAAGTTTTGATACAGTTAAAAGTTTAAACAAATATTTCATCAAATTTTCATCTGGTTTTTATTCAATTGTATAAACTTTTTTTTTAATTGCACTGAGCTTTTTTCCTGTGTAGTACCTATCGAATAAATATTTTTATTTTAAGTATTTTTTCTCTCACAACGTACTCTCCCTCTTTCCCTCTTTTTCTGGCTCTCTTTCAATCTTATCGACCATTCTGTTCAAACAAAACGACATGACGTCAAACGTAGCGTCATCCGACGACGTTTCCTCCGCAAGAGGAACCGGCCAACGCGCACAAACGGGTGGGAAAGAGTCCATTAGCGGAAGGGAAGAGCATCACGCGGCACCGTTCGTACCTGAGAGTGCGAGAAGAACGGTCGATCTTCCACGGGAGCGAGTGGGAGCGCGATGGCAGATATACCGGGGCGCAATAGCGTATGCAAGGTAATGCACGGCCACGAATCCGGATGGAACGCGCGGAGGAGGACGTCTCCGTGTTTCTCCGTCTGTGTATGCGCGCGCGCGCGTGCTGTTGCTCGCTACCTCCGCGCGATATCGCGGATCTCGCAGTATATCACCGGGGACCGCGCGCGAGGTTGCGGCCCGGGCTTCTACTTAGCGCTTTTGTTGTTGTTGTTGTTGCTGCCATTGCGATCCCGAGCGAGGGCGAGGCCCGCGCGAACGCGAGCGAGCGAGACTCGATGCGAGGGACCCGCATCACACAGCATTGTTCACACCGTTTTAATAGGTATTCATTGTCGGGGCTCAGATCTCTGCCGAAGAGACTCCCAACGGAGTGTCGTTCCGATGCGCCCCGATATACCTGGGAACTCCGCTTGCCCCTCGGTGAGGCATGCCCGCGTCTGCCCCTCGAGCGAGCCCCCGTTTGCGCAGGACTGCGGAGAACATCGCGGATTCTTAATTGATTTTAATTAGATACATACGGACGTCGCAAGGAACAGCTGAGATTCCACCCGACGCATTGAAAATCGCACTTCGCGCTCGTCTTGGTCTCTCGTCTCCGCATTTCGCGTCCAACCGGTATTGATCGCGGGGTCCGATTTCCGGAAACTTATCAACGCCAACAACTTCCGTTCCGCAGAAACGCACGCGGCACCGGTCCGATTAAAAAGCTCCTCGGTTCGCGCTTCGGCGAACGCGTTGCAGCCGTTAACAAGATTAACAGCTCTCCGCATTCGATCGGCAACATTAATCCGAGTAACACGGGTAGTAGTAACCCGAAGGAGCTCCCTCCCCCTGTCTGCCCCTACCTCCCTCTCTTTCGCCTGCGCGCTATGTAAATTAATTAGGGCCCTCGGTAACCGCGCTGATTTTTCAAGTAGGCACGTGGTGCGCGCGTCCCTCGCCTCGAGGTAGGCAGAAGTAAAAGAAGAAGACGAGGAAGATGGGAGAGGAGAAGAGAAAGAAGAAGAAGAAGGTGGCGAAGTCGAGGCCCGAGGTGAATTCGCCGGGCGTTGAAGAGGCGGTGTGCGAAGAGATGGCCCCTGCACTTGGGTCCTTTCCGTGGGCCCAGATAGCAGATCTTCCCCAGAGGCTGCGCTCCTTCGTCGCCTTTCTCACAACAGCTTCTCTTCCTTTTCTCCTCTCTTCTCTCATACTCCACGTTGTCCGTGCTACCGGTCGGAGATCCCGCTCGAACGAATCTCGGCAATTAACCCGCGCCACTTAGTCTTATTACTAGTAGGTCTCTCCTGCGAGTCGTCCTTGAGTCTGTTCCTCTCGCGACTCAGCTCATTCTTGATTTTAAGCCGCGTTTCCGGCACGAGAAAATCAAGCGAGACATATCCTGGCCATTACTCTTAGAATCGATTTTCCAAGCCCTTAGTAAGTCTACTTAACAGTTAAATCATATATCTGTTTTTCCTTCAAATTGAACAAAGATAGATATATGATTTAACTGTTAGATAACTTACTAAGAGGTTGAAAAAATCGGCCTTTAAAATTGCTAATTTTTGTTCTTAAATGAGTCTCTTAAACAAACCTGACATTTATTAATTATGTGCTTACGTTAAAAATCAGTACGTCATCAGGTATCGATTCGAAATTTTTATTGTACGTTACTTCTATCAATTCAGTCGAGCTTGAAAAGATAATGAAAAATGTAGAAATATAATGTTATATAAGCTATTGTCCTATCTTGACACTGCAAGTCATCACTCATTGCCGTTTTCTCTATATTGATATTAAAAAAAAACTTGCTTCCAAATTCTTTAATATGAGAGAAAAAATATCTTAAAGATAGAAAAAGATATTTATTCAATAAATTCCAATAACATATTTAATTTAAACCTAAATTCTCCTGTTTAAATAGAATAAGCAATTGCTTTCATGAAAAGCAACAATTTTAGGAAAATATATATTTTGTCATTTGAAAAAAATTTTTTTCTCAATGTAAAAATATTATGTATTAATACACAATATGTATTATATAAAATATTGTGTTTTAATACAAGTAAATATGTTATCAGTACCTATCACAAATAAATATTTCTTATTCTTTAGATACTTTTTTCTCAATAATTTCTAATTTTAATCAGTAAAACATTATTTATTTAATTACGTAATTTATTCAAGTATTTAAACAAAGTATGCGAACAAGTCAATTTTTGCAAAAATCTATATTACGAGGGTGGTCTGAAAAGTTTCCGACCTAACAAAGATACAAGTCATTTTTTCTGAAAATTGTTTTTTATTTTTCAACATAGTCTCCTTGTAAATCTACA